GTACTGAAAGTAAGGATAATTTTTGTGCATTATTCTTATTAGTCAACAGGTAGCTATGATAATTTTCTCTTTATGTAAACTGTGACTTGCCTGAAATTTCAGTTAATAACACTGTTTTATGGGATATATGGGAAGAACAAGTTCTGTTACTTCAGAGTGAGAACACCGTCTTCTTTGGAGAATCTGACAAAACAGTGATACCAACTATCATTTTAGCATCGTTATTGAAAAACAAAATGCCTTTGTTTAATATATAAATAAATTTTTCTGTAGTGTTTTTATTCTTTGTGCTTACTTCAACTGAGTATTCTCTGGACCCATGAAGGTGTGTAGTTCACCCTTTTGGGCCACCTTCAACAATAGCTTTTTACTGCATCCTGTACTCTGAAAGGAACAAGCAAAGTATCCCAAACTGGGGGATGAGGTTTTTAGGAAATAATTACTGACTAGTGAGACAATAACTTTTGCTTTACATAAAACTCTTCTCTTGTGCCAAACTGAAATGAGTAAGTTATAAACATTTAAATTATTTTTTTCAAAATATTTCCACAAATATAGACTTGTGTGTAGGAAGCATGGAAGTTATGAGATTTGCTTCAAGTTATTAGCAAGTAAGTGGCAGTATCAGGTCTGGAATGGGATCCCCTGTCATCTTGCTCTTACTATTATGTCTCAGTACAAAGAGGAACAACCAACTTGTCTGATTCATTCTCCTTAATATTTGTACCACTGTGCACAGAGTGTTCTGATTGTACTAGATGTAAATTTTAAAAATATAAAAAACATGAATATCTGCTACCTGTTATATGTATCATAGGAACATCTAGATTATATTGTGTTTACTGCTGATAGTTAACTACCATTTTAGTTACATTAAATAACACACTTTGCTACATAAATATTTGATGAAATGCCAACATACCACAAAGCAGATATTTTTTCCAGAATACTTTGAAAATTAAAGCATAACTGATTAAAATTTTAAACTGTTGCGGGGGTACCTGGATGCCTCAGTCAGTTGAGCATGTGACTCTGGTTTCAGCTCAGGTCATGATCTCAGGGTTGTGGGACTGGGTCCCGCCAGGGGTTCTGCACTCAGGGCAGGAGTTTCTTGTCCTTCTCCTTCCCCCTCTAAACCATCCCCGCCCCCCACATACTGGCTCTTACTCTAAGATAAATAAATAAAATCTTTTTAAAAATAAAAAAAAAAAAAGATTTGCTTAAATTGCAAATCTTCACTTAAAAAAAGTAAAAAAAATAACTTTTGAAACAAGATTTAGAGAGCTTAATACAGAAAAGAAAATCTTTGCTCAATGGCACAAATACAACAGAATAGTTTCAAATGTACTGATTCAGTGATTGATAAAAAACCACCAGGAATTTAAGGATAAAGTTAGATTTAGAAATGTGAATTGCTAAAATTACAAAGTAGTAATAATGGTTCCAATTGCCTGCTTGAAAGTATCTACAAAATTATTTTTTGTGTAGCAATTCTTTATACCAACCTAAATTGTATAAAGGAATATAGCAAGTGCTGGTACTAAATGAAAACTGTTATCAGATATTTGTCTTTTTTTTTTTAAGATTTTATTTATTTATTTCACAGACAGAGATCACAAGTAGGCAGAGAGGCAGGCAGAGAGAGAGGGGGAAGCAGGCTCCCCGCTAAGCAGAGAGCCCGCTGCAGGGCTTGATCCTAGGACTCCGGGATCATGACCTGAGCCAAAGGCAGAGGCTCTAACCCACTGAGCCACCCAGGTGCCCCAGATATTTGTCTTATACGGCTACTTCATGCAGTATCACTTTTCATGGATTTTGAAAGTCATATATGTGCAAGAAGTATTTTAATTTGGTCAATTGACAACTAATGAATTTCAACCAGCTGCTTTTATAACCTCTTTAAAAATAAATTTCAGCCATTTTGTCTTGAATGTGTAAGACGAGGACTTTGTGCTCGAGGGAAATACTTATTCACAGAATTTTTTATCAGTAGAAATGACTAATTAATATGGTAGAACATTAATGGAAACTTTCAGGTCTAGTAATAACATGTGTTGACAAACTAATTGCCCAACTTTGGGAAAACTACTTAATGTAATTCTTTGCTCTCTTATGTTTTGAAAGACATATAAATTCTGGCCCACAGTAATTCTGGCCCATGAGATTTTGTGGAAACAGAACATAAATAACCATATGAGAAAATCCAGGGCTGACACATTAACAACCTTATTAAGAAGATAAGATGGGGAAAAATGTTCATTGTTCTCCTAAGACGGTAAGCAAATGTTAAAATCTGTCATCATTCTGTCATTTTTTTTTTGGCAGTTTAATAATTCTGATATTGACTGAACAAAAATTATACCTATCCACTATTTTGGAAAAAGTGTGCAAAAGATCAAAGAAGAAATGGGTTTTTTTTTCTTCAACAAACCAACCTTCCTTTTCTAAAAGCTTACTTATGTCATGTCTCAAGGGCTTTGACATTATTGTTTTTTTTTTTAACAGACATCCAAATTTCAACCCAGTCCACACCAGTGTCCACTCACAATTTCCATTACCCATAAAACGAATGATTTAACAATTTCAAATCTATACAGGGCTTGACAAAGACTAAAGGGTTGCTTTTGGTTTTAATGGATAAAGTACAGACTCGTCACGGAAAAACCATGCTGTGGCTTGACCATCCTAATTAGTGTGTGACTCTTCCATTCTTTTTTGATACAGGGTGATTAGTTTCTTAGTTCCAAGGATAGTTTTGGAAGGCAACTTACCATGGGCTATAGTTAGCAGTTTAAGAGTGAAATCATAACATGAAGAAAAAGATTGGCTGTGAACTCAAGTTTTGAAAACTTTCAAAATTAAATATCATTTTTAAAAAGTTAAGTTGAAATGTCTTTTTTTTTAAGTTTTTTTTTTTTTTTTTTTGGCAGACAGATCACAAGTAGGCAGAGAGGCAGGCAGAGAGAGAGAGAGGAGGAGGAGGCAGGCTCCCTGCTGAGCAGAGAGCCCGATGTGAGGCTCGATCCCAGGACCCTAGGATCATGACCTGAGCCGAAGGCAGAGGCTTTAACCACTGAGCCACCCAGGCACCCCATAAGTTGAAATGTCTTAAAAATAGATGCATGTGCCTAGCAGGGCTCAAATTTGTGCTGACTTAAATTTCCATCAGTACAAATAAGATTTAATAGGTTATATGTGAGAACACAAAAAATTGTAAACATGGATCACATTCAATTAATACTGAATTGAGAAAACCTCCCTGATTGCTGAAAATGCTAATATCTTATTTCTTTTCTTGCTGTAAATAAAATACCAATATTCCAGCCTTAACTCCATGGACTCTCTCAGAGGCTAGCCTTTCTAGTCTCCAAGAAATGCTGGGAAACCCTTAGTGGGGCATAGCTGAGGCCTGAACACCATCTTTACTGCCCCTACCTGAACCTTGGGCTTGAAACTCAATGATGTGAAGAAAATCTCCCTACAATAATCCTGAATCCCTGCCCTACCCTTTGCATTCCAATCAAGCAAATTATTTAAAAATTAAAACTGAAATTTATACACATATCCTCAAGAGTGGTTCCCTTCCTTCTAGGCAGGGTGGGCATAACATTATAAAATCTTTTTCCTCATGAATCTTATTTTCTAGTAGATGTGGAGGGGAGCAATAGATAAAAACAAAAATAACATGATAATTAAAATATATAGCATGCCAGTTAGGGGTGTCTGAGACTAATGGCAGCAACTGTGTTCGGAAGGGTCTCACTGCAAAGGTGATATCTGAGCAACAATCCGAAGGAGGCAAGAGAATGAGCCAGCGAATGAATACAGGGTATTGGGTAAGAATGTCCCAGGCGTAAGGAACATCGAATGCAAAGGCCCGGGGGCGGCGGGGGGGAGGGGGGCGCTGTAAGGCGTCTGCTATTGGTTGAGGGACAGTGCAGCTGGAGCAAACGGAATGAGTGGGAGGAAATGAGGTCAGGTCGATGAGGCCAAAAGTGTACATGTCAAGCAGGTCCTGGTGGACCATTCTAGGGTCTGTCTAAGAAATGCGGGGACAATTGGAGGAGTCCCAGCAGAGGAGTGGCTTACCTAAACATTGGTAAAGGCACATCAAAAGAGACCAGAAAGATAAATCTGGTGGTAACAGGTGCCTCAAAGCTGTCAAAGACAACTACTGAAAGGGAAAAAGGGTTGAATCCTGGACAAATGCGTTTGTGGTGGTTGGGAGGATGGGGTCACCCTGGGAGACGCATCTGCCTAGGTTTCAGACCTAGACCACACAGAAACCTTGGTCCTGCTACTTCAGCCCCAGGTCCCTAGCCCCCGGGAGGGTCAGGACCCGCCGCCATCAAGCCTTGTTGCCTTGGCAACCACAGTATTCTTCCCCCCCCCCCCCCGCAACACACTCCCCACTCCTCCGCCTCCCGGGAGCAAAGCACCGGGTCACGCAACCGCTCCAGCGCGGACCCCGAGTCTGGGCCCGCGCGGACTCATCAGTATTCCACCCGCGGAGTTCTCCCCGCCCCCGCCGCGAATCACAGCGCCAGTCTATCCCGCAGCTCCAGCGTTTCGCGCGGTCCCACCGCCCCCACTCCGTCCCTGGGGACCGCAGCCGGATCTGCCCTGGAGCATTCCTGGTAGTCCCGGGCGCTGGCGTTCCTCTGCCCAGTTACACAGCGCTTTCCAGTACGCTAGCGGGCACCTCAGGGTGCGCCTCCGCGGCGGAGAGGGGACGCCCCGGGTTAGGCAGGGCCCCCCGGGAGACCTGTTCTCAGGCATCCCCGCAACAACTCTGGGGATATTCAACTCCCCTGCGCTAGCTGTAAGGATATTCAACTTCCCCCTGCGCTTCTGCAGTGCACCAGACGGGGGAAGCAGATACAGGAGAACCTGCATTGCGCCCCCACTGGGATGCACTGTGCGCAAAAGGGAGACGGTTGACTGCAAAACCCGAGGACTGGAGGCGAGGGGAGTTAGGGGTGGGTTTTCTTAGGACTCACCTTGTGCAGTTTCCACATGGCCCCCAGAGCTTTGACTTCATGGCTGGAGTGTTTGCCCTCCTCCAAGCACTGGTAGCACACAGGCATCTTGCACTGCACGCAATACATGCTGTGGTTCTCCAGCTCGTGGTCTGTGCAGGTGGAGACCTTGCGCGGGCTCAACCGCCGGCTCACGCGGCCCTGGGCCGGGGGTACCAGGCGGTGCTTGGCTAGGGGCCCTCGGGGCGGGTGGCAGCGCAGGCGGCACGGATCGCAGTAGAAGACATCGCACTGTTCGCACATGACGGTGGCCTCCTTAGGCGCCTTCTCGCAGAGCTGGCACTTGAGGGCTGCGGCTTTGCTCTGCTGGTAGCGGTCAATTACCCCTTCCAGGACGCGGTTCTTGGGGAAGCCGCGGAGCCCCCGGTCATCCAGGATGAGGCTGCGGTGGCACTGGGGGCAGGTGATACAGGAGTTGCGGGGCACCGGGGCCAAGGCCGGTGACAGGTGGGTGGCCGGTGGCGGCATAGCCGGGGGGAAAACGCGGACGCCATTGGGGGACTTCTGGCACGGGGTAGTGGGGGCACTGGCGAAACCCCCGTAGGAACCGTAGCCGCTGTCCGCTTCGCTGTACAGGCTCATCTTGTCCAGGTCCAGATAGTCATAGTCGGAGACCCCGGAGCCTGAGGCCCGACGGCTCTGGGGGGATTCAGACTCCGGGGTCTGTACCAGGATGTTGCGGGCGCACGCTTGACATAAATTGTGAGAGCAGGGCAGGATGATGGGCTCCCGATAGAAGGAGCCGCACACAGGGCATTTTAACTCTTCTTCCATCTCTTCCATGAGGACGGAGCTGGAGCGAAGCAGCAGCAGCTGCAACGGGTGCTTGAGCTGGCGAAGCGGCCGACCGGCCTGTCGTTTCCAGCACCTTGGCCAGCGGCGGCGGCGGTGGCGCCTTCCCGCGTCGCTTAGGCGCGGACTCCCTGTGAGGCGCTCTCTCACAGAGCCACTCTCTCAGTGAGCCACGGGACCGCGACGCCGCGCGCCAGCCCCGGACCGCCCCCTCCTAGTCCCGCCCTACCCTGTAAACAGCGGCCCATTGGCCGGCGGCGAGAGGGCGAAGCTCTCATTGGCCACACGCCCCGTCCTTCCCCTCTCTTCTGCAGGCCACAGGGGGTTTGGTAGCCGACTCTGAGGAAGAGTGAGTCTTCGCTCCTGGCTGCTCCATCTCTGGAGGGGGCCGGCGTGCGGAGGCGAGGGACCGGGAAGGAGGAATTAGGCGGGATGACTCATCCCTCGCCCCGCTTCCTTCCGACCTCCGGTGCAGTCACCCAGGAGCAGGGGGCGTGAGAAACCCCTCCCCGCAGCGAGTAGGCGGGCGGAGGGGGCTGGTGCTTCTCGCCTACTGTCTGCGTTTGGCTTCCAGCTCTGGTCTCCGTGCCGACCTACCACCCGCGAGGGCCGCGCGCCTGCGAGACCCCCCTTCTCCTTCCGGGGCTGGCAGCTTGGGCTGGCGCCTCACCCAGGCCTAGGTTTTTGTGCCGCAGCCCCGCTTTTCTCCCTTCCAGGAAAGCGGTGCCGCGCGGCCCGGGCGCTCCCGCCTCCTGGGAGTCTGGCGCGCGGGGCGTAAGCCCCAGGAAGAGCCTCTTTGCTTCTTTCAGCCTCAGCCCCTAGGGTCTAAGAGAGGATTAATAATAATACCAATTTCTTAGTGTTGCCGTGAGATTGAAGCTAGGCGACCGATGTGAAGGCTCAGTATATTAGTTAAAATCTCTGTCAGCCCCTTCATTTCCCGCTTTAAATTCAGGCTCGGCCCAGAGGCTTCTCAGAGTGCGGTGTGAACCTTATGGTGTGAACGTGCCTCTCTCCCCTCTTCACTCTCCCTGCCTCCCAAAACTGTGCTGTCACCTTGCTCTCAGCATCTGGCTGAGCTTTCGCGAGGCCAGCAGTACTTTGGCTCAGTACGGATTGCCTATTTCTCAGTGCCCACAGTTTAGTAACTAGCTGCAGATGAATTACTGTGTCACTGCGGAGTCTCAGTGTTTGAATGCAAACAGCGTTATTCAGTGTCACGTGGCCTGAGCGTTTACCACAGCTTCAGAATGGTGGTTTGTTTCTGTTTGCTCCAGTGAAGTGCGTTGGGTGATGGTGCTGGTGGAGGGGTGCAGGTAGGGGTATGGGGGCGAGATCTAGTGTTAGTCCTCATATATTAAGCACCCTTCTTCTCCCTCTTACCAAATATTGATGGAGATATCTGGTCCTGTCCCTTGCCCACAGAACTGTTGATTTGATGTTGCAGGAGGAGGAGGACCTCCTCCCCCAACCCCCCCCCCAAAAAAAAGAAAAAACAGAAAGAAAGAAAAATCTTCGAGTCAAGTGACGGTGACATTCTGAGATAGCATCTTATTTGAAATAGTACATGGCTGTCTTTTGCTGAGTGATTCATAAATAAATGGCAAAAACTCTTCCCAAGGTCTAAGAAATCTTCCATTTTTCGTCTTCCAAAAAAGAGATAACTTGATTATATGCAGCAACAGTTAGAATTTAAAAGCATTTTATTGCCTAGTAAAAAGTGGCCCATAATCCTGCCCTTAGAGAAATAGTCCACTAAACTACATTATCTTTCCAAAATCTTCCTCAGTCGTAATGAAAACAGCACTAGATTATTGTTGGGGGAATGGTTCTTCTCATTTTTATTTAAAATTATGCTAACCATAAATGCTATATGATTTCTTTTTTTTTAAAGATTTTATTTATTTATTTGACAGAGATAGATCACAAGTAGGCAGAGAGGCAGGCAGAGAGAGAGGAGGAGGAAGCAGGCTCCCTGCTGAGCAGAGAACCCGATGTGGGTCTCGATCCCAGGACCCTGGGATCATGACCAGAGCCGAAAGCAGAGGCTTTAACCCACTGAGCCACCCAGGCGCCCCTATATGATTTCTTTTTAATCTGGTTTTTAACTAGCTAAATCCAGAGCGTCCAAAGGCATAGGTACGCTGTTTACAGCCATACAGTTTCTTCACGGGGAATTGGAACATTATCTGTATCTGAAGGATGTATCCAATTTATGGGTCTCAAGAGAATTTGCTTATACTAAATAGTTAATTGTTGAGAAATTTAGAAAAGAGTGTCAGTACCACGCATAATTTAATATATAAAAATCCTTCCCAGGATTTTTGTATGCATTTGGCTGAGAGTCACAGTAGCCTTGGGTCAGGGCTATGTACATTTCTTTTTTTTTTTTTTTTTAAAGATTTATTTATTTATTTGACAGACAGAGATCACAAGTAGGCAGAGAGGCAGGCAGAGAGGGGTGGGGGGAAGCAGGCTCCCCGCTGAGGAGAGAGCCTGATGTGGGGCTTGATCCCAGGACCCTGGGATCATGACCTGAGCTGAAGGCAGAGGTTTTAACCCACTGAGCCACCCAGGTGCCCCAGGGCTATGTACATTTCAAAGTGAACAGCAAATATTCCCTTTATGAGTTTGAACTTGCTTTTCATAGAATTCTATCTGCTATAGATTCAATGTGTCTCCCCAAAATTCTCATCTTGAAATCCTAATCCCCAAGGTGATGGTATTAGGAGGTGGGGCCTTTGGGAGGTGATTGGGCCATGAGGTAGAGTCTTCATGAATGGGGTTAATGCACTTATAAAAATGGCCCAAGAAGGCTCCTTTGCCCCCTTCCACCCTGTGAGGTTACCATGAGAAGACCACTGTCCATGACAAAGCAAACCTCACCACAGGGCAAATCTGTGGACACCTCGATTTTGTAATCCCCAGCCTCTAGGATGTGAAAAATAAATTTCTATTGTTTATAAGCTACCCAGTCTGTGACATTTTGTTTTAGCAGCCTAAAAAGCCAAAACCGCCATCTAAGAGGTCTGCTAATTAGCAGAAAACGTATCTTAAGTTAAAAATAAAGGATGATTTTAGGGAATGTCTGTGGTGTAATACGCTGTTGGTTTCACAGAGACTCAATAGAATACAGATTTATGATATAATCAATACATGAAGAATTGACCTATTATGAAATATATTGAGGTGATTTAATTGTTAGAGCTATTTGGCTAGGAATTAGCTAAATCAATCCCAGGAGAACTCTTAAAATGACTGTTATTTGTTAAATGCTCATTCTGTTTTAGGCAGTGGGTTTATTTATTTACATGGATTACCTAGTTTAGTCCCCGTGATAACAAAAAGAGGTGGGCATAATTATCCTAATATTAAAGATGAGTAATCTGAGGGTAAATGAAGTACACAAGGTCAAATACTGGTGAAGCTGGGATTTGAATCCAGGCACATGTAATTTTGTTTCCCTGTTCTTTCATTCATTCGTTCCTTCGTTCATTCGTTCCTTCATTCATTCAACAAATGCCTAGTTTTCTGTCAAGCTCTGTGTATAAGAAATACTCAAAATGATCTTTGATAATTTTTATATTATTCTGTTTACCTTCCCTGAGAGTTTATGGTTTTTCTGGAATTCATTTCTCTAAAAAATTTTTGTAAACTTTGGGAGATTTCCCCTCATGTAGCACTACATGGCCATAATGTACATTTAAGTCCTCCAAGGAGTTTTATTTAAAGGGAAATAAAAAATCTGAATGTAATTGATGGTATTATATAAATACTGTAGGGAATATATCTTCCTTCTTCCAGCTGGTGATCAGCCCATGCCCAGAAGCATGAGCATTGATAGCCCTGTAATTTTATCATTCCTGGGGTGACTGCAGATGTTCTCATTTGTGTAAAGTGTCTTATCATTCTCTGAAACTTACTCAACTATGCACCCAAATGATGTTTTTGTAGAAAAGATTTTATTTATTTATTTGAGAGAATAGGTATGCAGGAAGGGGGGGTGTTACAGAGGAAGAGGGAGAAGCAGACTTCCTGCTGAGCACGGAGCCAGACACACCCTATTCCAGGACCTATTCTTTTCTTTTTCATTCAATAGCAAATAAATATGTGCATTATGAGACCTGCGAAAGGAAATATAACTATTGATATAATAGAAAGCACAAGAGAACTCACAATTAACAAACACTGGGAAAATACTATGTGAAACACTATGACAACAAAAGTTAAAGCCTAAAGGAAATGAATGTTTTCATTCAAAAATAGATTAACTTAATTAATTCTTCAAATTTAGCATCAATACAGCATTAGCTTCCTTTGCTGGTATCCAACTAGGTATTCTCAGAACTGGATACCTTTAATATTTTTATGGAAATTGAACTTTTGGCTCTTTGTCAGCATGTTAAGGTGGATTTTTTTCCTTACAGAGCACTGAATAGTCAAGGATATTAAATTGAGCTCTTAAATGAATGGATTCCATATAAGTTATAGTCTTAATTTTGTACTTGTAAATAGCACTACGTAGGCTCTCTACCTATAATACTCCAAGAAGTAAGATAGCACAGGTATTTAAAAGGAACATTTTTAAACAATTGGTTAATTTACTATGTAAAATTGCTGTAAAGAACAATGTATACAGATTTTTTTATTCAAATATTCTATTGTAAACTTGTTAAGACTCTTATGTTTTTATTGCTCTTGTATGGGATGATGTTGCAAAAATAAAAAGAACCTTCAAAACAAGATGTTCAAATGCTCTCAAAGTAGAAAGCTTGAGTAGACCAACTTCCAGAAAAAAAATTTGAAAGGTAATTTCAGATTAATCATTGTAAAGGATAGGATGGTTGCATGGCTGAATTACAGTTAACTTTTAAAAAACAAGTAATTTTAGGGATGCCTGGGTGGCTCAGTCAGTTAAGCATCTGTCTTTGGCTGAGATCATGATTCTGGAGTCCCTGGATGGAGCCCTGGGGCCCTGAGTCAGGCTCCCTGCACTGGGTGGGGGGGGGGGGGGGTCATGGGCCCATATGGCAATACCTAAAGTCATTTTTGGTTGTCACAGCTTGGAGGTAGGTGGTGAGACAGATTCATTACTGGTATCTAAATAGTGGAGGCCAGGGATGCTGTCAATGTCCTACAA